ATCTCTTTCTCTTGTAGACATGGTTGCCAGATTAGCAATAAAATTTGTTGATTATAACAATTATTTCAACATAACTAAAACCAAACTAAGTATATAAAAGGCGTCTTACTGTTAGATGCCTGCATAATATTTTATCCTAGCTAATCTTTAAACTATAATGAAATACTTTGGAGTCCAGAGTAAATTGAATGTGATCTGCAGTGAATTACCAATCAACTAATCACCTACTACATAGTAATTTCAAATCATTGCGAACCTTGGACCATCTTGAACATAGGATCATTTCAAGGATTTTATAGGGATCTGGCAACAGCGGAGTGATTCCCAGCTGTCAGAACTCCAACCAATCAAATGACAAGAAGACACTGACATCACTGCTCAGTAGCGTTTGAATTCACAGGTATTGAAATAGCATTTTCAATATTAAATAATTCAGATGTTAGATTTTCTCGATAGATAATATATGACCAGGAAAACGTTTTAAACTTTCCTTCATAACATTATAGTGAAAAAGGGTAAAATTTTACGATTCTGGAAAGGCATATTTATTTAGACGCGCATTCATCAAATTCTATCATAAATTCAAACATTTTATATAGCATCAGGAATTATTTGATAGAAGATTCAAAACTAGAAAGATTGTTATAATTTGTACAGTTCTAAACTGTACAAACTTAACAAACACTCGACACATCCATGTACAGGGTGTCCCAAATTCGATTCATTGGGATCTCGGTAAACATAACAGATACTAAGTCGGTTAAATAGGGTAAAGTTGCGCAATTTCATGCTGATCAAAATGCTGCCTCAAAATGTGAAATTCCGAACACTTCCGCAGATATTTGAAATCATCAGAATATCCGCGATTTGGTTTATATTTTTTCTGGCTTTATTTAAGTGATATAACAAAATAAGTTTGATTTCATCATTGCCACTATCTCCGCTTTATCCAATGATATTAATGAATTTGGGATCTGACGTTTTGTCTCCGTACGAACATTATTGAATTTCCTTTCGTGCGTTTCAAGAAAAAAATAAGTTGGTGATGGTTACGAGAAAATAACGAAACGTCGGATCAAGAATCTGATGACGGCAAGTTGTAGAGAAGGAAAAATGGTTACCAAAATGTCAAATTAATTTTGGTATGATGTTATTAAAAGAGATAGACCAAAATGAATGTGACATTCTTGCCGCCATTTTTCCTTCTCCACAAGATGCCATCATAAAATTTTCAATTCGACGTTTTCAATCAGAAACGCCGGAAAATTTCAAAAAGTAATATGTCATTGGGTACAAAATTGGAATTACAATTATTTGGGAACAATTTATTTAAAAACAAAGTTGATGATGGGTACTCAAAGACGAAACGTCAGATCACAAATTTATCAATACCATTGGATAGAGCAGAAAAAGTGGCAATGATAATATAAAATTAATGTTGTCATATCACTTCAAATGAAGTCAGAAAGAAATGAAAACTAAATTGGGAATATTCGGTTTTTTCCAAATATTTACAAAAATTTTCGAAATTTAAACATTTTTGAGGTGGCATTTCGATCAGCATTACATTGCGCAACTTTACCTTAATTTGACCGATTTCGTATCTGTTATGGTTACCGAGATCCCAATGATACCCCTCGAATTCGGAGCAGCCTGTTCTGTCAGTTATCACTGTTGTTAGTCATATTTTGTGGTTACTTCTCTGACTGATACGTCGAATGCATTAAGTCACTAGGTATATTTATTTATATTCTAAAAATATTGCAGTGTTGAATTATTGCACCAATGAGTCAAACAAGGTGTGAATAACGGTCAACTATCATCAGCAGCGATGCCAAGGGAACAATGCACGAATTTATTCAGACAGACAAATAATTGTATCATCTATTCGCGATAGAAAATAAGCGTACGCCACCTATCGGAGTTCTTCAAAGCTGTCAAAGCGGCCTGTTTACTTTGTTTTCATTGGTTCACATCATCAAAACAAACCGCTCAGAAGTATTCAATATGTTGCCGTCAGGTGGAGCAACGTGTTATTTTCTATAGCGAATAGTTCTTCGTTCAAAATGAAAATTTAATTAGTAGGCGAGATGGTATAGTATTGTCTGTTCATTGACCCAAAATGTGTCTGATATACCTGTCAATGGTGCTAGTTTACTAAAAACATCGCGAGCTCCTTCATATCAATAGAATGTTTGTCAAAATGGACGATTTTAAGTTGAAATCTTCCCCCCAGACAAATTGCAATTTTGAATTGGTTGTCTAATTTCAAGTTTTTTTATCGCTTGGAGCGCACGAAAGGAAATCCCTATAACGTTCAAAGAACATCGTGCGTTCCAAGGGAGGATAGGGACAGGCAATGAATTCCAAAGCCTTGCTGGTTTATTGTATGTTAGGTTTTGGTGTTCCATTTTGCACTTCTACAAAAGGTGGAGGTATGTGAATTCTTTAATACTCCATTCTCAACAGCGACGTGAATTTGAGGCAACATGCAATGACTTCCACCAACATCAGCTGAGTTTCTTCTTGAGCCACATAGGTATTATTAATTTCATTATAATGCTTTGATATTCCAGGAATAAAAATAATGCAATGAGTTATTATTATCAACATGATATGACCAGACTCTGATGACCCTGCTCTCCAGTAAAGTTAACATAGGCTAGAGTCCCTGTATGTATTTGACAGTTTTGCTCTAATAAGAGTACGGACACTATAACAAGCAGTGACAGAAGGCATAACCCCAAATTCTCGAAATGACTTTGAAGGTTTGGTTGAACAAAGACATTGATATGCTTTTACATGCACTTCAGATCTTCTTTCCTCTACTGCAGCGGTGAAGGGTACATCCATATATCTTTCTCGGTCCTTCTTTTCATGAAGAAACTGGCCAAAAGGGGTTATAGTTTGTAACTTAATTTTTTGATAGGATTTCTTGATATACATAACAAAGGGTATATGTAGAGTCAATTTATTTAATTTTAGAATGCACTTGTATCCATAGACAGTCCTCGTGAAGGACTAAATGGTGTTTCTGTTTATTTTCATAGGCAAAAATTTGTAAAACATGTATTATTATTATTTCCACTTATTTTTCGATAGAAGAGTCAGGATTTAGTAGCCAGTTCTGCTGAGCGAAATGTAAATGAATGGGAAGAACAATTCAACCAATTAACGAACTTATATTTGTCATAAAATACTGAGACACTTAATAGTGCATGATCAATCAGAAAATTCGACAAATTCAAGGGTGATGATTATACTTTAAGAGTAGTATCCTATGTTCAAAATATAAAATTTCAAATAATGGTAGGTAGGTATCTACAGTTTTTACTTAATTATAAGAGCATTACAACAAAATTAAGTCTCCAAAGTCCAACTGAATGGTAGCAGCTGTGATTCAATTCTAGATCTCAATAAATTTCGTTGAATTTAATGGTATGTCCCACCTATTATGTTAAAATTGGAATTATAAATGATATTATTCCTTCGAATATACATCATATCCATTTGAAAACTCAACTGTCAGCTGTTGAGTACTTATTTCCCAAATGTTACTAGCTGAACTCAATTTCCACAATGGCCACTTCATATTTTGTTTCCATTGCTGTAGCTGTTGTTTAACATGGGAAAAATTGTATAAATGAAATGATTCTCTTTAATTCTTGCAGTTTTCAGCTACACAATTAGCCATTTTAATGTTTGAAAGCTGAATTTTCAAATATTTCAATGTCATCTACGTTCATGAACTGTCAGTGCCCGCCAAATTGGTCATGTCATTTGAAATTTTTTAGGGTTATGCCTTCTGTCATTGCTTTTCGTAGTGTGCTTGTACTCTTATTACAACAAAACTGTCAAATACATACAGTGACTCTACTATAGGCTAACCTGAGTTAGGGATCGAGTAGGCAACAAAGGCTTTTAGTTCGGCATACAGGTCACAATATTACTGAAAATGGAGTCAATAAGGGCGATGTAGGCTTTTCAATCAGTAGACAATAGGCAAGTTTCCTATATTGAGGTTCTTATCTCACTGTGAAGTTTGAAAAAAAAATATATACGTATATACTTCATAAAAAAATAAATAAAAGAGGAACTTGGCTCCTCCACCATTCCTATGACGTACTTTCTGAAAATCCACATTCACACAGAGTTAAAATTCGATTTCCTGTGCCAGTACGACGTTGCCGACATCATCAATATGTCTAGATTTCCGGAAATTTTTCTTTGAATGAATAATAACTATATCATAACAGCAATGAGATATGATAGGTTCTTCAATCCTACTTTGTCATGTATTACGCATAATTCCCATGAATCTCTCATTGGCTGAATTAAGTTGATTACTAATAAAGATAAATTATGATATTATGCGATAGTATCTATAATTTTTCACTATCCTTATTCATAACTTGTCTGTCATTTTTCTGCTAAAAAAATTGTTCCTTAATAAAACGGATCTACTTTCTATGAAAGTTGCTGAATATATCTTGCAACAGCGCCTAATACTCCGAGTCCGTCCACACCACTCACTCAAAATATTGACAGGCACAACAAGAGGAAGGATCCATGGATGTCGGCTTCATTCTGTTCTGACCGATGACAGTGAATTAGAAAGGATATTATCATTGAATGTAGCCGATAGTGATTAATTGATTCAATGATATTTTCGTTTAGCATCCTGCTCTATTCGAGATATTTCAATACATAAATAACAAAACCATAACCTGTCAGAATGAAGTCGACTACCCTCTGGTATGTTTTTGTTGACCAGTTTTACTTATTCTTCTATTTTTTTCATTCGCTTTTCATACGTTAGCTATTCGCTAGCTATATTCTTCACCATCAGCTATTTTCAGACTAGATTCAGAATGTGCGTCACAGTTTGCCTCTCCGAAAATTAGGAATTTCTTCAATTTGAAAATGAAGACGACTTGGATTTTATCGGTTGCCATTATGTACAGCGTGGACATAAAACTGGAGAGTTCCGAACTTATTTTATGAAAATTCATCTGAGGGAAACTTCCCCATTATACCTCTCGCCTACTAACTAGATGTCCAATTAAAACGACAATGGTTTGACAAAAATCCTTCCCCAACTGGCCTCCGCCTACATTCTACATTCTAGACCCTTTCTGCTGCAGTACCTTCGCTCTGTCCTCCCTCTCGCCTTTGACTTCCGTACTCTCTGGGGCTCCGTACTCCCGGCTAACGACGCAAAGAAATTCCGCATGCTCGTCGGCACCGTAGTTGTACTGCGATCCGATGTTCACCAACTGTTCGAATTTCCATCCGTCTGACATTGTGGACACCATCTGAAACGAATTGTTGCTCACATTTACATGATCATAAAAATATGCCTATCATTTCGACATATGTGTAGTAGGACAATTCAGATGATTGGCCCCCCAAATGTTACAGCGTTCAAAAAATTTTTTATGAAGGTGTTTAAAAGAAAAATCCAATAGCTTGTCAGTGACACAAATATAGATATTGTTATGATATGTTATTTCAATAGTGGAATAGATTTTATAGAAGTTTGTTTGAAAATATTATACTTGGTTTTGTAGAAGCTCAAATTTGGTTTTTATCAATGTATCAATAAGTTTGATAAACTATTGAACATATTGTATACAAAAAAAACGCGACATTTTGAGAGGTTTGTCTATGTGACAGGAAAAAAAGATATAAATGAGGAAAGATTGAAGCATTTGTACAAGAAGTTCAGAGAAAAATATGTGTCATTGTAGAAGTTAGATTGTATTAAATAGGCTTAGTCAATAAATTAAGAAGTGTAGGGATTGGTCAAGTGAGAGGAAAATAAAAAAAAGGATCTGGTTACGTGGAGAGGAATAAACAAGGAGGAAAAAAAGGGAAAAAAGAATTGGAAGGTGCATGAAGAAGATTGCAAGAATATTTATGGGAAAACGAAACCTATATTGATAAAACTACAAACAATATATCTGGAGTCAGCAGTTACAAACCAACAAGGTATTTACTTGTTATTTCATCAGAGAGAGAGTTTTTGGAAACAGCAGTTATCTTATCCATACGATTTCCATATTCCTCGTTCAAGATATATCCAGCCAAAGCATAAGCAGTAGACTTTCATCGAAAGTGTTTCAAAAACTGATTTCCGAAAGTGTTTAGAAAAACTATATTCATCCATAAACTTTTACATTTCCTACAAGTTGCAGCGGATCTCAACGTATCGTTTTACTAGGCGACAGCCAGAAAAATATTGTTTGAATAAATTTCATATCATTTTCTTCCATGTTTGAATATTCGAAATCATTTATTGTCATAGTTGTTGATGTCTTAGCGTATAAGGTAGTTGGTGCAGAGTAGGTACTTTAGTTAATATTAGATGATTCACATTTCTTGTCATAATTTTGATTTCTGAACAATATATTTTCTCTATTAATATCTCAAAATCCATTTCAATCGATATCTACAATTTATTATTAAGACATTTTTGACATCTAGATTTGTTCACATCCTTGAGGAATCCTCCTTGAAAAAGAGAGTACATCATGTTCATAGGTTTACCGACTGAGCTGAAGCAATGAACTAAGGGTAATTGGTGAGCAACCGAAGCAAATGGTATAATATTGAAGCTAGGTAAATGTTTTTAAACTTATTTGAGCTGTTCTATTTTCACATACTACAATAATTCTTTTTGGATACTTACTATTACCATAATTCAATAAACATCACAATATATTGAAAAAATATCGAATTTTTAATTATCTTTGGACGTTTCGAGAACGAATCTGCTCCCGTTTTCAACATGAAAATATTTTGAATTTGAATATGTAAATATATATTGATATTGAGTGTGAATATTATTCATGCTTCGTTTTGAAGATACAGTGTGTCAAAATTTCAACAAAAAATCGCTTTTTTATTAATTACTCAAAATTCTGTTTTCCACTTTCAATGAAACTTGGTGATTTTGTTCTCAGTATCAAGAAGCTCCTTTTGGTATGATTAGATTCGGAATAATGATTCCAGTGGCATCACAGTGGGTCAACTTTTGGATATTTATGGTGAATAAGGTACATACCTACGTCATAGTTTTTTTCAATTTCGATATTTTCATCACATTGAACAATTGAAAATACAACTTTCTTGTCTTCGATTGAATTTTTGTATAGAATAGAATAGAATAGAATAAAATCTTTATTGTTTACAGAAACACGTGGATTCATAACAAGGAGTTCATACAGTTCGAGGCAGCAAAAACTTACCACCGAATTGCTGCAGTGGTGAAAATAGTAGATTGTTTCATTAGGATCAAAAGTGACACTTTGTTTGACAAGCGAATTTTGCATTTGCGAGGCGGAGCGTTTAGCGAAGCCGAGCGAAAGCAAAATTTGCGAGTCGAACAAAGTCACTTTTGATCCGAATGAAACATGCTATTTTTTCTGCAACCGAAACAATTAACTCAAATAAACTGTGAAGTAACCACCAATGCCGTACCATATGTATGCAATGCAACAAATATTGACAAATAATCCGTGTGGTGAGAATATTCTACCTGCATTAACAGCAGGTTAGGTTTTCAAGGATGTTCGAATTGTTGTTTCAATATAAATACAACCACAGAGTGACATATTTGTGTATGGACCAGGTGCTCTAATGGCAAATACCGCGCCAGTGCCAGCTATATGAACAAGACGTGGAAAATGTTAAGTTAGTGAGCATATCAACATAATCAACAATGATAATAGTGATTATTTATTCCTCTCCATACCACACTGTGTTCGACTTGATAATCAAATGGAGCTAAACAATATCGTTGTTTGAGACAAAAAACTATTGCTTGCCGTGAATATTCAAAAACAAGTTATTCATCCCGAGAATAACGAATGAAATACAGATCAAGCAAGTTTTCGAATCTTGAAGGCTTCCCTGATCAAAACAAAAATACTTAACTGAGATGTTTATAATTCCAATACTAAACTATAGTAAGGTGTATTTATATCTCCAGCATGGTTATGAAATGCCAAATCTGCTGAAATCGGAAGCAAATCAGGCATGCGTCTCAACCCAAATAACCAGCCGTCACAATGTTGTTTATTCTTGATGACGTCCAGTATATCCTTTTTAGTTCCTAGGAGCTAAAGTTCAACTTTAGCTCCTAGGAACTAAAATTCAACTTTAGCTCCTAGGAACTAAATATGTTGCCTAGCAACATACCTATTTTTGTGTCAGTAATAGAAACGTCAATTCAAGAGCTAATTTTAGTATCAAAATGGACGACTTTTGTGTCGGTTGCAGAAAAAGTAAATAATAGCATGATAGATACCAAAAGCGAGTAGGAAAAAAATAATAAGAAAGAACAAAAAAAAACATGAAAAGTATAAACCTTAAATCAGGCGCCCTCTGCCTCATTACAAAGAACACAATACATGTCAGTGCATTAAATCTAAGTGGACGAATAGCTATGTGCTAAAATCCTCGAATGAAGTATAGTCCATTATACATTCAGCCTAAAGCACATTCACTGAGCTTTCATTCGTTCATAATAAAGGATCTGAGTTTACAAATATTCCAAATGTGGGTACTCAGACTTTTTGCAGATGAGGGCGTAATATCATTGAAGAGGTTAACCAACCCGTTCAAATCAGAGATAGGTAGATCTGGAGGTTTCATCGTGACGTAGATCGGACAATCGAATAGGACATGATTGATTGTTTCATATTGATGTTGATTGCAGATGGTACATATTTCAGCAGGATTCATTCGATAGGTAGCTCAGTTATATGTGAATTTAATGGCGTATTTGCTAGCGAGTCTGAGTTGAGCCAGGGTTCGAGTAACCGAAATAGGGATTCTCATGTGTATATAGGTACTGTTGGGCACCAGTATTCAACTCATTCAACGAGTAGGAAGAATCCGCGTACTCGAGTACATTTGAATTGTGAAAAGCCCAGTTATACCTGATGAGACAGGACGCATTTCCGTTGGCAAGATCAATTTAACGAAGAAGGCATATTTTTGGAAGGCGATAATCTTCCATCTCAAGTATCTTAATAACCCAATTCAAAGTGTGTTTGAAGATGATATAGCTTAATCTGACTCGGCCTGTCTCTATCCTGACTGCATAATCAGGTGTTGTAGTATTTTTGTACATCACTTAGTTTATGAGGAAAAAATGAAGAATTGATTTGATTTCAAATTTCAATGTAGGTGCCCTCAAAACACCCAAAAACCTCAATGGGAATTATTCTAAAATTTTGAGACTTTTTCAGTCACCAATCAGACTAAATTATTCCATCATGAAAGGGAAAATACAGGGTAATCATGAAATACAACAATCAATACTTCCAACTTCAACACCCTGTATCTGGAAAACGAAGCATTTCAGGATGAAGGTTGCAGTGTCACTGTCGTTGCTCGACGTCATGCGTAGGGTCGAAATTCAAATGATATTATAGCGTTTTCCCGAGCGTTTTCCACTCGTCGCACTAGCTCGAACTTTTTCGGTACTGAGTGCGTTTTGCGTGGTCCACTGAGAATTTTAAGAGCGAACTTCTGTGGAGAAATGATTTTCACTGGTTTTCAAACTTGCTCGATGCCCGTTCAGAGTTCGAGTTTTCAGACTGTGCTTGTACGACGGTGCGATACACATAACCTCAAATATTCAAGTCATGAGTGGGGAAATATTTGGAATTTGAATAATAATTATGAATGTCTCATTGAAGTTCATTACTATTATTACAATAATTGAGAAACAGAAGTACTTCCCTACGAAACAGCGTTTACGAAAGATTCAAAATTACCTAATAGTTAGAGAAATCCATTGAGATGTGCAGGTATTAAACATATTTGATTGTTGATTCAGTAATGATGAAAAATACTAACTACGTGAACGACACTTCATGCAATGCTACATTACTATTCTTGAATGATTCAATTGAACATTATTGACAATGAACATTAGACTGTTTCTGGCTGGTTTCTGGCAGTGTTCACAGGGATACCGCACAATAAGAGGTAGATGAATCCATTTCATGTAGACCAACGAAACCAAATGTACTTTCAATAATTCAACTTTTTGAAAGACACAACAATTATTCTGATATTTCTGATGACAATAATGTCGCACCAACTCTCTATTTCTATTCCACTGGTCTGTGCTAGAACCGCACTTTATGGAAGAACCAAGCCAGTGTCACTTGCACTTGCTCTGTGCTAAGAATTTTATGACAACCGTGTGATAAGTCGAGGAGTTAATCCTTCTTTTCCAACACGTTCTCCAGATTTGAAGCCTTTGGATTTCTGCCTATTTGGATATTTGAAAGACGAAGTATTCAAGAGAGACAATAATAACCTTGAAGAGCTGCAAGCCTCAATAACACATTGCTGCCAAAATATTGGCCTGGAAATGCTGAGGAACATTTTCGACAACAAACGGCGAAGTTTTGAAATGCTTGGAGAACAACGGAAAACATTTTGAACATTTGATGTAGATTAATGAAATAAACCGTTATTTAGTACTTCTTTAATAAATATTTTTGATTTGTTCCATTACTTTTCAAACTCCAATATTGGACTCTCCTTTCTTTGAGATACATTTCCATAGTGTATGCAAAACTATATAAACAAAGATCCTGTATATGATCACTTCCTTTCTTTCTGGTCGTTTAATGTTGTTAACAGCATTAGTAGAAAGCGGCAAATGGAAAAAAAATTCAACAGCCACTATGATGTTACGATTATTTATAGAGACCCTGTATATAATCATATATCATTATACAAGGTATTCTCCTTTGAAACCGTGAAACTATTTTTTTGTTTTGAGGTGAAATACAAATATCTGGAAGAACGGTTGAAAAGTAAAAGGGATAACGGCTTCTTATAGTACATATACAATAGTCTACAGCAAAATGTTCTATACCAGTGAGATTTTTGGTAGTTTTACTTATCCGCACGCAGTGCGAATGACACCCATATTCGCACTGAATGCGGAAAAGTAATATTTTGCGCACGCAAATGAGTGCGGAAAAGTATTACTTTGCGCACGCTCGTAGGAAAACGCTATTAAGCCCCTGTTTGTGATTACCTCGGAATTATGATCAGGAGCGCAGGAAATAGGTGGGGCGCTAGGGATCCTTTTTCTCACAACTTTTCTTTTTATGCAATTTTCGACAGTTTGACCAGAAACTATGGAAATCTCATAATTTTTAATTGAGAATGGTGATCTTGTTCAGTTTGAAGAGCACTCAGCATTTTGGAGATAAATCGATTTCATTTTTCAACATCCACTTTTGATGTTTAATTGAAAATATGGGGGATATAATAAATAAAATAAATTAAAAAAATAATATGGTAGGTACCCTATTAAGAAAAAGTACTATTTTCATGGTGCAGCAGACTTAAAATCGATTTATCTCAAAAATGGTGAGTATACAGGGTGGAACTACATTAAATATTGTTTTTTGTATGCATATTTTTCAACAATTTAATCTCGGATTATAAAGATCCATACTTCTTTATGCCTCTTTATGAAAAAATGTACTCTCGGAACTTTGATTTTCTAGAATTCATTGTTGAATTTTGTTCAAATGCTGCATCATCATCAGCTGAGTTAAAATAAACATATTTGACCCAAAATATGAGTTTGCATCCTTTTTAGTAGTAGAAGATTACAAAAATGTTTGTTTTATTTGTGCTGCATGAAATAATTATTTCTGTTTAGCTACAGAATGATATCTACAAAGTGTCTAATATACCAGAAAAATAATAAGGCAAATCATATTCATGGACCAAAATGCTAGAATTTTGATAGATTTGAAGAAATTTAATTAAAATGTTAGTACTGGTGGCTTGAACATGTGAATTCCATGAACTAACTGTTAAGATGGTATCAAGAGGAAATTCAAGGTCAAGGTGTTCATAGTACCCATTTTGTACTAGTTGACTAAACGATGAACTGGAATTTCCAATCTCACAAACAAGGTGATTATATTCCATACTCTTTTCTACACTTTTCTATCCATTTTATAACTATTCCTGATTGACAGAATTCACAAATATATGTATGATATAATGTGAAATGAGTAGTTGAATAAGTCTAGGTATAGATAGGAAAATATAATTTGCTTATTGTAGTTCATGATTCCTAAAAAAACTGCAGGAGGTATTGTTATCATACTTACAGAAAACAGAAAATCAGATTTTCCTGGGAATGAGTAGTAAAAACTGATTTTCAGCAATCATTTGGAAATATTGGTCAGCATAATGTTTAAATTTCGGATTCATGTTCTAGATTTGGAAATAACAGGGTATCCCAACACTCAAAGTCATCCTTTGAAGGGCTGATAGTCCAGCTAACAAATGAACAAAATATCACAATAATATCTTAGTAAAATATTGATAGTTTAGGAGATATTGGCACTTTTTATGAAATTCATAAAAATGAAAACCTTTGGTCAGTATTTCAAGTGCTGAAGTTTCAAAACTTCATAGTTCCCAACCTGCAATAACTCTTTTATTGATTACAATCTCAAATAACAATATGTGTACAATACCTTTGAAGAGAAAAAAATATGTTTGCTGGATTCACCAGTTCATTTATTCAACTTAGCTTACTTAGACTGGTATTTTTATATTTTTTGCATAACAAAAAATAGAATCATAAACTAGGAAGTTCTGTAACTGCTGCACTAGAAATACTGATGGAAGGTTTTGATTTCAACAAAATTCATTCAAGTGCCAATATCTCCAAAACTATCAATATTTTACTGAGCTCACATTGTGATATTCTGGTTAGTCATAAGCTGGACTATCAACCTTCTATAGGATGATGTAGAGTTTTGAGACAACCTGTATATCAGTAGAGAAAAATTCATAAATTACAACCTTGAATCAAACAATAACCTTGTGTTACCCAAATAATTATCTAGAAAGATGATACTGATATATCTTCAATTGTTCAACAAAAAAATTGATCTTTTTTTGTGATTACCTGAGTAAGTTCATCCTCATGACATTGTAACACTCTATAAACATGTTTCTTGCCATCTTTAGTGGGTCTGTTATCACGGTGCATAATTCTTTCTTTGACTAATGTAATGAGTTCAGCAATATTATAAAATTCTGCTTCTTCTAATACACCTTCTTCAGCTAATCCTTTATTGATCACTAATTTCCCATGCCTAAGGTAATTCAAAATAGGTGAAAAATAGTTGGGGTCTCTGTCTATCAGGTAAGCCCCAGTTTCATCCTGAAAAGAGTTTAATTCAGGATATTTATAACAAGTCCAGGAAGTGGTTTATGTCTTACTTTATCTGATATCAAATCCCTGTCGTCTTGTATCAGCCTGTATAAAAATGAATTAGGGTCTCTTGCTAATGTCGTTTTTGTAGTTAAGAAGTATGTACCACCTACATTTAATTTCACCCATTGTTTATTACAGTTATTTGAAATTATTTGTTTACTATCATCTTCGGAATCCATAACATTATCCGCCATGTTTACGAATTTTTAACCTATAGAATTTTTTTCTTTCTAAGTTAATCTTCTTTTTTTATTTCGTTACTCCTTCTTCCCATTTCTTTCTGATCACTTGTGATAGGACATATTCCTATGCTACCTTCTTCTTTTTTAGACGATAAGTCCCTTATTGTCAAATTCTGTTGTGTTTATGGACGTGTACACTTGAATATGCCTGTTCGTTTGTATTGCTGAACTTGCTAAAGTTGATTTTATTCCCATAGTTGTCTCTGTTCATGACATGATGTAAACAGAGATAGTCATAGAAAAAAATCAAGTTCAGCGGGTAGGGCAAGCACAAACGAACAGGCCTTATGTGACACGGTAGGGATTTTTTGTGATGTCGCATTTCATGTGTAAACGACGTCACAATGATGTTCATGAGTCGGACATTTTCACATCTCTACGTTATATCTGAGATGCCTATATCGGTAACAAGTACAAGTTTGTGTAATCATAGTTGAGTAGGCAAAATGATACCACTATTAGCAAACTTTTTTTTTCAATAACCCATTTAAAGTTCAAATTAAACATCTTATTCAGTGTGTGATGGGGTTGAGAGTTTTTATGATGGTTTAAGCAGTAGTGTACCCAGAAGTGTTCCTTCGAAAGGAATATATCATTTTTTCCCAAACGACTCGTTCTCATTTATTTTCGGTATTTTTTTTTCATTTCTTGGTGCGCACGAAACGGAATCCCTATAATCATGGTGGAATTAGTATGGTTTGCTACAATACGCATCTCCGAATTAATCATTCCAGGATTACGTCATTTGACAGGTTGCTGAGGGGCAAACATTGTATTTTGTCAAGATCTGTCATATCTGTCCTAGGAATCCGAGTTGGAAACAGAAAAAATTTCATAATTTTACATGGTGAAACTGTTATTATATTGTGGATGTGGCTGGAATGGGCAGGGCTATGCTCATCAAAGGTAACCTAACAAATACTTTGTGTGCCCCTCAAGAAACCATGTCAAAATCACATATTCTAGAATGATCAATACGTCACTGCGAGTAAAACAATTGCTAGCAGTCGAGCTCACAGTTACCAGTTCGCCCGAGTCGCCGTGATCATTTTGGTGCGAGTATAGACTCGCAATGACGTTATGCGCAGAAAAGACGAATTCAAGATACCTGAGTAGCACACCATATATATTTCCACCATGCCTATAATGTTCGAAGAACATCGTAGTGCGTACCTAGGGAAGATAGGGAGAGGAGGTGGGTGTGATTTTTTTTTGTTATATCAGGCATACTGAGTTCCGCCTTCCTAGAGAAGATATAGGCTCGAGTTTTCGCGGCGCCGTGAGTTCTTAGTTTCCTGGAAAGAAATGGGAATTCTAGAAGAGAACGCCAGTAGCAGTAGCAATAACTTGCAGAGAATGGGTGTCAATTCTGGTGCACATTCTTTGAGGATAATGAGTGGAATTCCATAAGGACCGTTAGCCATATTCGTTTTGAGACCAAGCAAAATGCGTCTGGTGCGGAAGACGATTTCGGCATTTGAATTACAACGGGTGGAATTATCGAGTGGCACTTTTCCTTGGGAATCTAAAGTAGAGTTTGCTGCAAACATCTCCGCAAAAATATTTGCTTTCTCCTGCGATGTTGTTGCTTGAGTGCTGTCAACTTTGGAAATGAAATATTGGTGTAATTCCTCCCGACTGCTTTGGCGAGGGTCCAAAACGAACGGGATTCATTGGGACAATCTGTGAGTTTGAATTTTATTTTGGTATTGTATGTTTCTTTTGATTCGTCTTTTGTTTGGCTGCAGTTATTCCTGGTTTCAACGTATTCTGCTGTAATAGGGAGGTTAGGGTTTCTGCGCCAGCGATGGTAGGCTGTTTGTTTCAAGGCAACAGCTCTAGAATAGTTTTTGTTGAACCAGGGTTTCGCAGGTGATGATCTTTTCGACGAATGAGGTGCATTCCAAGCGTGATGATCTCGGATATTTCCGCAGAACAATAATGTGAAGGATCCTCAGAGTATAAGCACATCCTGTACCAGACCAAGGAAACTCGGATAAAAACATGCGGAGACCGTCCCAGTCTCCTGAATTGTAATGCCATAAAAGTCGTGGGGGTGCCGGTCCTTGGAGAGAAACTGTTAAGAGAATCTCAAGAAATAAACATCTACCTTCTCGGTTAACATTCAGAGTGTTTGAAACACTTTCCACTTGCTCCTCTTCGTATTGTTCTTATCATCAGATAATTATTTATGTATCAATTACAACAAAATGAAAATATAAAATTGAATTATATGTTATTATTTTATGAAGTTGCAGTCACTCTGGAATCATTCTAATTCTCAATTTGAAGGCATTTGACTTTGAATCCAATAAAAAATTCGGATGCGGCGCATTTCATATAGCATGGAAGTTTTTTTCTCAGAGTTCCTTGCCTGCCCTGGTAAACACTGAAATGACGCTCCTGGCTGGAGCTTAGTTTCTTCGGCACACTATCATTGATCTATGTGGGATGGACTTTCGCCAATGTCTTAATCGTACGACAATGAGCTATCCAGCTGAATTTGGGGAGTTTCGACGCTGACAGATTTCCTCACCCTTCAATTGAAGGGCTTGATGTGAAACAATGACAAGCCTCAAAAAGGTGAAAATGAGATATGTGACTTTGAATGATGAAACAAATATATAAAATCCAGTAGCGACTTCAGTGATTTTATTCTTATATAGGTCGATGCGTCATGCCCTATGGGATTATAGTTAAGAATATTAATAAAATTACTTCAAACTTGACAAAAAAAACAGGCTATTTTTTTTTGAGAAAAATGTGACTTATTGTTACATTATTCCATTAGAAATAATTACCCAAAATCTTACAAACGATTGCCTAGATTTCGTCGGATCTTTTCTTTTGATGTCACTATTATTTTTTTTATTTACATCGACTTATTGGAATGATTTCGGACAAGCTTTTTTTGCCTTTCTCTTATTCATTCACCTAGAACAAAATGCAATGATATAACAAGCCACGTGACATGCCATTACAATAATAATTTATTACCCTCCATTTATAAAAGGTTATAATGTGACCAGCCACATTTGGGAAAAAATACATGTTGCTCTATTTACATCACTTGAGTCACTTTAGCTTGTACAATGTTAGGGCCACGGTCACTGTCATTGAATGTCGACTGAACCTCTCTATTATTCTAGATAGAATCGTCAGAATTCACAGCATTATCGGAACAGCTTCCGCTCGAGTCGGCCATTTTATGTGGCTCGTCATTATATCGGATAGTAACTAGAGAAAAAATAGATCTTTGCAATAGTATGACCATTATTGGTTTTTCGTGCCATTCATTAACGAAGGCCCGTAATAAGTTTCTAGTGGCTTGTTCTGGTTATACTATTGCTTCAACCGAGAACAACACTAACTCATGTTGAACTCTTGTTAGGCTTGCCATTGTTTCACATTAAGCTCTCCAATTATATTCTTGTTTTATTTCTACGTGTTCTGGGTCGTCTGCTTGTATATCATCGTATTCGAATTCGATCTTAAATTCCTGCTCGACAACGACACTGTCAATTTCACTTTTCACTTCGTGTGATTCATTTTGCACAGCCGTAACCTGTTTACTGGAGGACTTATCATGGGAAATATCACATTCCGAAGGTTTCTCACCGGTGTGCAGAACGATATGCTCGGTCAAGTATCTCATCGTTAGAAATGTCTTCTTGCAAAATTCACAGTCGAACATATCAGCACCAGTGTGCCGCTTTTGGTGTTCCTTCAAGCATCGCTTTGCCCCGTACTTCTTGTGGCAAATTTGACATTCAAAAAGCTTTTCCCCTGTGTGCAAAATACTGTGATCGGTCAAGTTTCTTTTGGTCAAGAATTTTCTTTTGCAGATTTCACACTCGAAAGGTTTTTCGTGCAACTTTTTATGCCTGTTCAAGATCCGTTTAGCGGTGAAATTTTTACAGCAAATTTTACATTCGAAAGGTTTTTCACTGGTGTGCAAAACAATGTGCAGGGTCAAGTATCTCTTGGTTGAGAATTTCTTTTTGCAAAATTCACACTCAAACAAATCTGCATCAGTGTGCAACTTTAGATGCTCGTCCAAGTTCCGTTTCGCGTTGAACTTTTTCTGGCAAGTTTCACACTCGTACGGATTTTTTCCGGTGTGCAAAATACTATGCGTTGTGCACTTTCTCTTAGTAATGAATTTCATTTTGCAAATTTCACATTGGAAGTGATATTCTCCGGTATGCAACTTTTTGTGCTCATCCAAGCTACGTTTCGCCGAAAATTTTCTCTGGCACATTCCACACTCGAATGGATTTTCTCCGGTGTGCAAAATATTGTGCTCGGTCAACTTTCTCTTAGTGATGAATTTCATTTTGCAAATTTCACATTGGAAGTGATATTCACCGGTATGCAACTTTTTGTGCTCATCCAAGCTACGTTTCGTCGAAAATTTTTTCTGGCACATTTCACACTCGAATGGATTTTTTCCAGTGTGCAAAATACTGTGTTCGGTCAATGTTCTCTTAGTAATGAATTTAATTTTGCAAATGTCACATTGGAAGGGATATTCACCGGTATGCAACTTTTTGTGCTCAACCAAGCTACGTTTGGCCGCAAATTTTTTCTTGCAGATTTCACACTCGACAGGTTTTCCACCACCGCTGTGCAATCTTTTGTGCTCGTTCAAGTTTCCTTTCGTCCTGTATCTCTTTTTGCAAATTTCACACGCGAAAGGCTTTTCACCAGTATGCAACCTTTTGTGGTTGTTCAGGTGCCATTTTGCGGTGAACCTTTTATTGCAAATTACACATTCAGAAAGTTTTGCCTTGTTGATATCTTTCTTCTGTTGGGTATCGCATTCAGATTGTTTTTCCATGCTTCATCGGAAAGATTTTTGTGGCGAAAACAGAAACGACAAAAATTCCGACTGAACAGGACACTCTCCAGACCTCAGAAGCTCGTGCTTATTACCATTATTGAACAGACATCTTCCTTGGGAGTAAATTCAATGCCAAGACGATGTGGAATACTGATAATTACTGAGAATATGAA